TCCGCCCCAAACACCGCCGCCGAGCTTTGCTGGTGTGGGAACTCCGCGAACAAGACACCGTCCACCGCTCAGGGCCGTGGCGCCAAACGGCCCCCACCGTGGCCGGTGTCTCCACGGACGTGGAAGCCCGAAGGCCCCGCCCAGGGCTTGTTCTGGATCCGCCGAGGCCGTTTGTCGGCATGATCAGCCGTTTGGACCAAGAACCGCAGCCGAGTCTCGTTTGCTAAGCCCTGACACTTTTGTGCTAGAAGACCAGCAGCCACCACGTGTGCTCAGGTTTACGTGCAATAGAACCTCTGAATGTCAGAGCCAACGCGACCGACCTGCTAGGACTTCTTTTCTTCCGCAATCTGTTGGTACCAGGCTTGCAGGAAATGAGGCTGTCTCCTGATGCAGATCAAGTCATTCAACGCTACAGTATGTTCAGAAACGACGTGAGATCGGACACGCTAGTCTATGGTGTTGCTCTTTTGATGCATACTGGCGTTTCCTGTACCTTAATATCCGTTGTAATAACTTAATATCCGCACTGAACTGCAAGCTGTCTCCATTACGGTTGACCTAGGCGTTACACAGCCGATAGTCTGTCCCATGTACTTACCACCAACATACGACTTACGTGGCTCATCGTTGGAGTGTATCTTTCACCAACTGCCATCACTGTTCTTGGTCCTTGGCGATTTTAATGCGCAAAACATGTCGTGGGGCTGTGTTCTTGCGAAGAACAAGGGCATGAGAGTTGAACGTCTCCTTAACAGGCACGGTCTTTGTGTTTAAAGTGCTGGGCTTTCTACGCACACTGCAATGTCGTCGGGTAACACTTCAGCTATTGACTTTCCAATATGTGCGTCAACCCATAGATAAGACAGTATTAATAGCCTTATTTCCCAGAGAAAAACCAGGAAAATGAAGACATAGGTGGGCTGATATTTCGGCAACATGCATTTATCGAGACAATAGCAGAAGCAATCTTCGAAACAATCTGCTTTGTTTCGATAAAGACATGTTGCCGAAATATCAACCCATTTATGTCTTCATTTTCTTGGTCTTTCTCCGAAGAATAAGGATGTTACTACGGTCTTTTCTATGCGAATAATGTTTCTCGCTAATGCACTGAACAACTTATGTACGCTTACTCTTGTGCAATCAGTTTTCGTGAGAATTTGGCGGCTACCTGTTCGGCAGCGATCACTCTCCCATCTGATCGACCAACAGCGCTGCTCACCCAGGCATTCGGCCACCGCGATGGAATATCTGAGGAGCTGGCTGGGCAGCGTTTTCTGTGAGGTGCTCACGTCAGGACGTCTACCTCAGCGCATGTTTGAGGATTATGTACACCAGTTACGTCAGATGTGGCTAGTTTGGTCCAACATCTTGTCCGAATTCATACCGATATTACATATAAGGGTGACGATAGTGCAGGGTTAGCGTGTCTGCCTTAACCGCTGCATGTCAGGAAAACCAGAGGCACGGGGTTCGATGTGGCACCCGCCCTTCCTGCCAGGGTGAGAGGCAGGCGACGCCGTATAGCCTCAGCAGCTGAGTGCATGGTTAAGTCCCCAGACGATGACGATGCCGATATTATGTGGACACGGTGTCCAAAACTTGACCGATTTGATACGGAGTCCAAAAACGGGTCGATTTATAGAATTATTCCCAGCGCATTAACACGCCCTACGTTGTGTCTTTCCATCATTTTCATTGGTTTTTAAAGGCACTGAAAAGGGTGTTTCTAAAACGTGCATTAGCCAGGATCCCGCGAAATAAAGCCTAGGCATGATATTGTAGGTGAGTTTTGGTGGTGAAATACTAGCATGACGCTGCTTGTACACCGCCTATGTCTTAAGCAAAAATGCAATGTGTTTTATTTCTATCTATAACACGGAGGCGGCACACCGGTTCAACGCTCCCATGTCCACCTACGTGTCGTGTCGTGTTGAACAAAGGAAACGTGTTAAAACTTGTCAGCTATCTTGGAGAAGGGGCGGTCTTCGGGGAGTGTGTATAAACATATATAGATGTGACGCCCGCCTCTAGTTCCCGACATCAGAAACAATGAGACCCTAACACGTAAGTCTTGAACGGTGTTTTCAACAGTGTCCGAAAGTTAGAATTGCCGACTTTGGGCGTAAAGCAGCACCCTATGATGAGGACCTTTTCACTCCTTTTCCCCATATTCTATGTGAATTTTTCGCTCCTGCCTGACATTGTCTAATCGCACATGCCAAACCCCTATTTCCCTTTCTGAGGTGTGTTTCCAAAACCGAGCTCACTTGAAACCACCAAGCATAAACGAGGCTCCACAGAACCTGGACACCCATGGCTATGTCCTGTCTCACCTACATCTGAACCATATCTATGTATACACAGAGCAATGGTGTCAGGTACCTTCAAGCCCAAGAAGCCCAGCGGCTCCAGCCGCTTGCACGCATTGAGTTTGGTTTGTTTACAAAATGCATCACCATCGGCAGCTGTGTGCCAAATGCAAGGTTTTCACGCATGCCCTATTTTTTGGGTCTCACCACCACACCACGAAAGTAGAGCGTGGTGCAAACACCCGCAAGGCCTGGTAGAGAATTTTACTTCACGTATTTCTTTAACCCGAAGAAACTTGAGCACTAAATGGCATCACTCCCGAAATGCAGGAGTGAAAAATTCAAGAAATGTCTTCTAAATTAATTTTACAAGATGAATATCACCATTTGAGCACTCTTGTTACCATATTTTAAGTAAAATCAGCTGATTACACAATTTTGCCACAAAAGTATCAGTCTTTATATTTATTTAACCACTTGTTTTTCTTGGTATCATACGAGTGTGATGCCACTTGTATTCTTGTTTCCTTTTCGATTGCCTTTAGAGGTACCATCTGCTGCTTAAAATGTTGACCAATTTCTGCGCAAGATGCTCCAACTGCAAACTTGTACGTAGTTCATACATAAATTGCATTAATTCGCCAGCCGCCCAAACATGTTTGATAGGCACCCAAGAGTAAACAATTCACAGGAAACGAAGAAGACAATTTGAAGCACGGAATTTGTTTTTGCCGCCATTTTTGCCCTGTCAAACCCTCGGTTAACCGTTTTCTTGGTTCATGGCGGTGATCAATAATGATAAATCTAAGCCTTTCGAGTGTCTAACTTACCAGGCTACCTGACAAGGCTATCCTAATGCTGTCATACAAAGCTTTGGGACAGACCTGACGCAGCTAATACAGAAGTGTTTGATGGCAAAATTCTGCCCTCTGGAGATGTTTATCATGCACACCTCTTACACTTGTTTCGGATATTAATCTCGTAGGTTGGTGGGCATGAGTAATATTTATATTTGGGGGTTGAGTGGGATGACCCTGTCTGCCAGCAGGCCGTGCAAAAGGTACTGAATTTTTGTTTTGGGGGAGCAGGAAGAAGCCAGTAAGTCTCCTGTGGACCAAGTAATTGCTTACCTTGCCTGCTTTCAGCACATGATTGGTAACTAGAGTTAGCTATTTTCTGTTTTAATCCATCGATTTGTGTCATAAGACAAATTATGATGCCACGGGGCATGCATTGGGCTTATTTTGTTCCACACTTTTATTACTTGCCCCAAATTTCTTGAAGTGGTCCCTCATGGCTGCTTAAACCAGATGTTTTCTATAGTTGTCGTGGTTTTCTGACTGGCAAATGACTGTACTGTATATATGCACTATTTTTTTAACACAAGAATACTCTAAGCTGCATGGCAATTATAATATAAGTTAAATATTAGTATGTAACAAATAGTCAGACCATCCCATTTAAAATGTGAAGCCAACATCTCAAACTTTGTCATTAAATATGAATAAACAAGCTTAAATAGATGCCTTTGCTGCAGCTGAAAAAGCAAGCGGAAATACTGGCATGGTCATCTAAAAGTTACGTTACTTTTGGAGAAGAGAGATTGTTTTGTGGAGCATGCCCATTATTGCCCTTGACATAGGTTAACCATGGCAATCAAAATAAGTTGTTCAAAGTCATTTAAAGTGTTTTGATTTGTGTGTTGTCAACTTTGTCTGATGTCAACAAGCATACACAAATGAGCTGAATAAAAATGCAAGTTAAAACCAGCCAAAACCTAGCTTTATCAAGTTTTTATTACAAGCGCTGCTGTCAAAAGATGGGTGAGTTGAGATGATGTTCAACATCACGAGATGATGTTTCCATCATTCCATTCCATTAAGGGAAGGGCATGTGAGACCGTGGGACTGTAGCACAGGCCTACGGGGACCTAGCATTCCACTAGTTGGAAAGTCAATGTATGTCTTGCATTCGCATCAAAGTTGGCTACATTTACTGGCAAGTTTGGATTTGGTTACGCACTCCTCGAGATCCATTGACTGTCACCATTGACTGAGGCCCATTGACTGACAATGACCGCCCGCCTTGTCGTTAGCCGCGGCCAGCTCTGCATGCAGAAACACACGCTGACGTGTTCGCGAGAGCTGCAGCCCGCGTCTGTCCTCAAACGGAAGCCTACCAGGTGGCGTTCAATCGACACTCCCCCGCAACCGGAGCTAGGGCGACGCGCTTGCTCGCACAGGCTCAAGCAGGTTAGCGGGCTGTCATGCGTGTCAAGCACTTCTTTTGGACACTGACCGTAAATGTGGGTGTATTTTTCACGTGGGCCATGAGTGGAACCTTATGGTGGATGACGGTGCGCGGCGGAACCTTACGGCCGCGGATGCGGTTACATTCAAATAACCGGAAAAACGCGGCCTGGAAAGTATGATCTCATAATGGAGGTTTGCAGACCCCCGACATTTGTATTCAAGTTCCCCTTATGAAAAGATGTCTCCGGCGCCTGGCGTTGGTGGCGGGGCAGCGGCCGGCCGCGCCGCCGCCGCCGCCCGGCCGCGCAGAGCCGGGATGCGCGCCAGCTGCCGACGCCGTAACGATTTCTGCGGCGCCCCGGGGCCGGCCGGCGGCGGCGCGCGGCGCGCCGCCGCCGGCCGCCGTCCCTCTCCAGAGCGCGCCGCCCAGCCCCCGGACGCAGACGCGCCGCGCCGCTGCCGACTATCAGGTGAGTCGCACCGCCCGCCGCCTCACAGAGCGGAGCGCGGGACGAGCGTGGTGCTCCGCTGTTCGTTAGATGGTGTGGCATGAGGCCATTCGCATCTCAAGTCGTGCTAGGCCGCCGGGGAGGGGAAGGGACCGCGGAGCAGACGCTCTGGCCGGGACGCCGTGGCGCTGACAATGGCCACACTGCTGATGTGCGGCCGGCCACCCTCACCTGCCAGGCACTTGTACTGGGGTGGCGGGACAGCACCGGGCCTAATGGCTTTACGTGGCCCTCGTGCTGTCTGTCTCAGCTCTGACCCTTGGTTATCACACCGTGTGTCTTCTCTCCTAATCCCCTTTCCCTCTCTCCTCCTCCCTCTCTCTCACCGCGCTCTCAGCACCTGCCTTTGTGTTGGGATGTGTGAGTCATTCGCTTCTCTGAAACACCGACGCGGCGTGCTCATTTGACGCACTTGCCTGATTATGAATGTACGCCTATCCATCATACCGAGGGCAGCGAGCCGCGGGGCCCGTGAATCAGACCATTGACCCAACGCGGCGCGCTGGGACAGAGAGGTAACAAGCCGACGGGGAATTCGTGGTTCCATTCAGTTTTGTACTGGTGCCCTCAGGTGTGCGTTAAAGTGTAAATATTTGGCTTCGTTAGGCATTTATAATGAGCCGGTCACATATAATGTTGCAATAAACTTGATGCATGAGCTGCGCCGAACGAAGTAATCCTGGAACATTGTATACCTACGTTTATGGGTGGTGCTAGTAGAACCACAATACACGGATTATGGCCCTCCTTGTCACCTCGAACGGCCATTTCGCCTTAAACACGCGCGGGTGACCGGCTAGATACCCTTCGCTCGGGTGGGGGGTCAATTCAAACACTCCCCCCCCCCTGAGATCTCTGGAACTGAAAGGACTAGAGACACCAAATTCATAGGGTGTGTGGACCTGTACGTGAACTCACTTACGTCAAAATTTGAGGTTCCTAGGTCATGACCTTTGGGTCAAATAAGGTCAAACAGGTTTAAATTTTAGGTTGGTCTCCAAAGTGCCCCCAGAACCTAGATAACTGTTTCTAAGCAGAGTGTCACATGCTCAGGTAAGGTCAGTGACCTTGTTTGACCTTTTGTGGGTCATGGTGACCAAAATCACACAAGACCGCTCTGAGTTTTGCATTTGAATAAGCGACAAAGATTACGTTAGCCAGCATGTTTCGAAAAAAACAAAATGTTTACCTGGGTCATTGTGGGTCAATGACCTATTCTGATCTCTAAAAAGTCCATGGAAGACGTATAATGTGATTCCTGCTATCAATAAATTTGAAATAAGCACCAAAAACTACCTTATACAGCAAGTTCTCGATGAATACAACAGGCTGGTTTTGACCTTGGTCTGACCTTTATACCTGACCTTAGGTCAACATAATTTGCTCATTCAATATTTGTGCTGCCTAAGAAAGCGTCTCAGATATGCATGGCTTCATTTAATACTGCGTTGTTGCATCAGATTGAATGATTCTCTAGAAATCGCCTTCGCTGAAACCATGGCCTGACCTTGACCTGCCATGAGTCAGCGACCTTACAGGGTACATGTAAATTTCGGTCGGCTTTTCTGGTGTTTGTCTGACATTAAAGAGCACTGGTCGTGCATTCGCACATCATGTCGAGCATTTAACAACACAAAATGTGACTGTCATGGATTGGCACGCCAACGTCCCTGCAATTTTTTCGGAAAAGCATTTATGCCCAGGAACATGAAAATACCCCCGTGTTCCGTTCTGCCCTGCTTCCCTTTGCGCTCGATACTTGTGTACGCAGTTATTCAACGCAAAACATAACGTTCGTTTGGAATCCACAACAATCAGAATCTTCGTCGTGCATGTCTATATTTTATCACAGTTTAGGTGGTAAAGCCGTTCATTGATGCAAAGTGCACACGTTGGCTCATTACCGTCATTGCCTCGATTCAAAGGCCTCAATTGACCAAGCGTATTCGTCAATATACGCCTTTGAAACACATATCTCATCAAAAGATGTCATATATCATATCCTATCATAGCCGCACCGCGCCAGCAACTTCGCAGCAGCCAGGTAGGTTTCCAAAGGCCTCTTGGAAGATGCTCATCACCTATCAGAAGACGGGCACGCAGCCGACCAATCGCTGCCTGGACTCCCAGCGCGCTGCAGCCACGTCACTATCCGGCGTTCATTGATTGCACGCGGGCCGGTCCGTTTGCGCCAGCTCGATTGACTTTTTTTTAATTACATCGCTTGATTCCTTTCCACGCGGCTCTCGGTTTGCCGAAAACTTGGCACGGTTTCGACCCGCATTATGTAGGATTCTCGTAAATTGCTTATTTTTCGTTTTTCGTGCCGATTGAATGGGGACGCCAAAGCTGCCCCGTGTTGCCACGCGGCAGACAAACCACACTTACCCATGCATAATGCATTCAAATGACTTGCAAATACTACAGCAAAGTTTGTCCACGACTTTGCTCCGTGCTGTTGAAAACTATATGTGGCTGCGATCGGTGGTTGCTAAGAGCTGAAACCGTCGAACGAATAACTGTGTGTGTATAGCAAAATGTCCCGGTCGTGAATGCGCTTGCAACGATCCCACTATTTTTTGAAAATGAATAATGTTCCAGTCTGCGGAAAAATTACCCACTTAGTGAGGTTCTTCAAAACACGCGTTAATTCTCATGCATAGTCACACTCGCACGCAGAGACCTTCTCGATTCTTAGTTTTTGTACACTTGATTTTTGAAATAGCAACTGCCACCTATGACCAAAGGTCGTCTAGTGTGTCGGCAGTGCTGTCACCATTCGGAGCACCACCTCACCCAGCGGAGTGGCGCTGAACGAGTTTGCCTTGGAATGGTAGCGCGTTCGTGGTTAGTGACCTTGAACCGTATTGCCCTCTGGGCGACAAAATGAAATACGGGGTGCGAAACGCCCTTCTATTCTTCGAGCTTTACGCGTGGATACGTTACTGGCGCCGGGGCGGATTCGGCACCAAAGTTTGAAAGAGGATGCTTTCTAGATATCGTCATGGACTTCGGTTAACCAGATCCTTGACCTTCAGCGTCCTCACGACATCGCTTTTTCAGTACCGGGGAGTGACACTGTAAATTGCATTCTAATCCAGCGCGCCGAAGGCTCATTACCGGTGAACAAACCCTCAAAGCGTGATGACGTCATCACAGGCAAATCCTAGCGTGGGTCCACGAGCCAACACTGAGCACCGCGTCATGACAGGCGATGCTCTGTTCTCTTGGTCCTCGTACGCCAGCGGTACCCTTCTCTCGCCCGGGCTGCCGGCGTGACGTCACTTCAGAGAGCGCTCTTCGACATCCACTCGCGGCACACGGTGCGTAAAAGACGCAGGGCCACTTGCGCGTCACGTGGACCGCGGACCGGCGGCGATCAATGTCACGTGACATGCGCAGCGGGCCCGAACCAATTAGCGGATGTGATGCAAGTGCGAGCATTGGACATAGATATATGTGGCAAACAAAGCCGGTGGTCTGGGTTTGAAGAGAGCATTGAGAGCCCTCCGCCAGTACCCGACGGCTGGAAACCAGCCGCGAATTCCGTTGCATTTTAGAGAAGCAGCATCAACAGCCGTATAAATCAGCCGCCGGCATTGGTCCGTGTGATTAATTTGCTGGCTCCACAGCTGGTGGGCGGTGCTCGCATGCGGCCGGTGTCAGCGTAGCGGGCAGGTCGTGCCGTCCAGGGGCGGGTCAGCGACCGCTGGCCACGCCCGCCGCGGCTAGTGCCGCGACACGCCGTGGCCGAGCTGGCCGGCCAGGCGGGGGCACTTCCGGCGGCCGGGCCTCGCGCGAGCGGGCCGGGCTGCCAGGCCGGCGCGGCACGGCTCGTGCTGAGAGCACGCAGTGCACCGGCTTGAGGCTACAGTGCTCAGCTTGCTGGAGAGTCTGGCTTGAGGACACTCCATCCCATCTCCGGGGAAGGACACCCGGTGCGGCCGACGTGAAGGCTTTGTTTGAGTTATTGCTCCACATTTGCAGATATTATATCAAGTATCAGACATCATGAAATAAGCTCGCTTATAACTACTGGTGTGCTTTTAAGTGAAAAACTGTTTTAGCAACAAAATGTTTCTATTTAGTATATATGCTGCTTGCTACGCCATTGTTTCATTGCGTCATCGAACGTCTGTACGGCATTAGAGGTGCTGCTAAACTGGCCGTGAGAAATTGGAACTTCAGCACTCATTTGTGGTATTCCAGCTTGCCGACACTCGGTTATGGTTAACATAACGTGCTCGGTTATGGCGCTACTCTTAGGTTATTCGCGTACAAGTCTTTATAAGTAGTACCCATGTCCAACTTCTTGTATTATGTAGCACACAATGTGATTCGTGTTCGCCACCGACCCCCTTATCCTCTTTTCTTGCTTTATTCTGAATAATCGCGACGCTCCGTTTATTTGAATCGGACTGTATGCGTCAGCCACTAGTGGGCCGCAAGGCCCCCTCGGAAGAGGACCCCGACCGGGCGCCCAGCGCACACCCCGAGGGGTCCGTGAGCTGGGGTTCAGCGGTTGGCCCCCAGCTCATGTGTCTTGCCCCACCGTTACCCATTCTCCTTCACTCCATAGCCCTGAAAAGATCATTTCTAATCGAAAAGGCTCTAACTCGAATAACCAAACAACCAAATTGTGTTCAAAACTTGCACTGCTTGCACGACATTGAATGAGAGACAATGAAGTCCGTTTTGCATGGCAACCGTGCTGATGAGTGTCCGGCACGCATGACTTGACGGTCGTACTCTTCCCCGCCCTCACACGAGCTCAGGTGGGGGTCAGCTGACGAGTGTCCGGCATGCATGACTTGACGGTCGTATTCTTCCCCGCCCTAACACGAGCTCGGGTGAGGTTTAAATTGACCCCCCAAGTTTTCTCCAAAATGGTTTTCGAATGGCGCAACTACGCTGCGCCAAACTGGGCGTAGCTGTAAAGAATTGATTAGTGAATAGTCCGATTTAAAAAATAATATGTACCTATGAAAGGCCAGAGCTAGGCGATGGCCGTCATCGAAGGACATTTTTTGAGGAATCTTCAAGATGATGCAACAGCGGAGTGTTAGACGAAGCTATGCATATCTGAAATAGTTTCCAATGGAATAAAGAATTGAACTTAGAGTGCATCCAACCCCATTGACCTAGGGTCAGTTACAAAGGTCAGGACGAGGTAAAGATAGCCAGCTTTTTTTGAGAGCTTGACTTAGTGAGGCAGTCTCTAGTGCTCATTTTGAATTCATTAATGACAGGGACCGCAACAAACATGTTCCATGAGCTTTTTAAAGGTCAGAGTAGTTGATTGACCTAAAATTATCTGGGTCAACATTGTGATTTAGGGAACCTACCTCCTAGCACAATTCCTGGCGTTTATTCGAATAGCAAAATCGTAGCAATCTCGCAGGTCACCGTGACCTTATGAAGGTCGAACAAGGTCACCAACGTCATTGACTTTTTGCGTAGTACTTTTTGCGTCGCGTATCATATAGCTTCTCGGCGGTTGCATAAGGGGGTTCTGAGGGCACTTAAGACACCAATCTTGAATGTGATCTTGTTTGACGTTATTTGACCCTAAGGTCATGAGCTAGGAACTTCAAATGTTGACACGAATGAGCTCACGTAGATTTTAATCTACCCTGAGAATTTGGTGTTTCTAGCTATCTTAGCTATCTTGGCTAGTTATCTTAGTAAGATGTCAGTCGGGCCGAATTGACCCCTACCCGAGCGAAGGGTATTCAGCCGGCCACCCGGGCGCGTGTTAAATGTCGCATGGCCAATGGGGTGGCAGTAATTGAATGACGTTTCTGTGGCGTCATGCATACTTAAGTGACCTTGAAATAGTCGGTACGAAATAGTCTGCCCATCTTTTCGGGGGTGTTGCGCAATGAGTAGGGGGTTTAGGCCTTAAGGAGGGCAGGACTGGGAACGGTACCGCATTATCGCATTATCTTCAAGATGGCAATTTCACTTCAAAACCCCGTACAAAGATGAAACACTTCCTTTAAGGACAAGCTGTCCAGCCGTTTTTGAGCAGGCTTTGTTGGAGAAAAACGCAGTTCGCCTGACTGGGAGGATCTGTTCGAGAAAGGTACGCCGTCTGGCTGAGTAACAGGCCTTTGAGGACAATGCCCACTATTTGAAGAGGGCACGCCGTCCAACTGAACTGAAGCGTCTGAATTGAGGAGACAATCGTCCGGATGTTTGGAAGACCATGTTTGCAGAGGCCCCAATTTCCGAAGTTTAAGGAAGACGAACTGCCCGTCAGACCGGTACACTGACCCTCGCCTGTGGTGGGCACCAGTGACGTCACATGCCGCTCATCAGCTGTCCTCTGGTACGTCCGTCTGACATATCCGGTCCTCTCCGGTAAACAGTGGGCCGGTACACTGACCCTCGCCTGTGTCGGGTACCAGTGACGTCACATGCCGCTCATCAGCTGTCCTCTGGCACGTCCGGCTGACATGTCCGGTCCTCTCCGGTAAACAGTGGGCCGGGCGGCCGCCGGCCACCGAGCACGACCGCTTGTTTAAAAACGGGCCGTCTGGCAACAGGTTCTGCGTTCCGGCTGCTGACAAAACCGGCAGCAGCCGGCACGAGCCGGACCGAGCCCCCCCCCCCCCCCCCTGCTCCTCTTGCCCTCGTAGTCGACCTGAAGGAATAGTTTGGCATGTTTGTGATCTGAAGGCTGTTTTGGAAGCACTTTTTTCAAATGATTTTCAACATATGCGTTTAATGATTACGTTTTTTGTTATCTGGAGGCTGTTTTGGAAGCGGCTTTTGAAATGATTTTCAACACATGTGTCCTATCAAACAGCAGATATCTCCTTTTCATCGTGCAGTTTTGCATTATCGTCGCATTGGGTTCAGCGGCCGGACCACATTCTGCTTCTCCCAGATCGCTTTAAAATCCGATTATTAAATGCCTGGAATATGTGCATATGTAACCTGTAGTCACTTAGCGCATGGGATTTTATCGAAATATAGCATTTGTTGTTGCTTTAAAGTAGATATCGATACGCCTGCTGGCCTAATCCCAGGATTCCCTGTCACAATGGCAGCATGGAAGTTGGCAGCTTACATGTGATCATGCCGTGCTGCATCCTTCTCGTTCATTTTTTTTAACGCCCTGCCCAGTTGTGAGAAAAGCCGTGGCATTGGTTACCTCCACAGACCGTAATATATTGGGGTATAATTTCTAATTACCACTTATAATCCTGCTTCCTTTTTTTGTCCTCAATGTATTTTCATGCGGTGGTCAGTACTTTTCCTGCTTTTAGCCACAGCCGCCGATTTTAGCCGGTTTCCCGGGAGGTTCACATTCCCTTGGTTCCCTCACCATGCATGACGACAGCAGGAGGATGCACGATAATGACAACATTTTACGATAATGAGATAGATGATGCAGGGAAATGCACACGTGTTTACCTTCGTCGGCGATGTGTACGCGGAACGAGTTTGGGGGCGCATTGTTGAACTTATATTGAATCCGCATGCTAACAAAAAAAAACTCCCAATCGTCTGGAGGCATTGACTAATAACGAGACCCTTTTTATAAAAAAAACGGAAGTTCCTTCAGAATGTGATACGTGTTGCCCGGTGGCGAATTTTTCTCCACGTGAAAACACCAGGAGCTATCTGCCGTCGTGGAAGTCGCTATCTGTGGAGATGTCATCACTTCCGCTCACGATCTGAGCGATAGTGTTGCGCTTACGAAACACCGCGATCGACGCCTGCGGCCTTGAGTCATTGCCACTCGGTCATGTGAGAATGTACTCCTTAAACATGCGTCACCCAAGTGTCTGCGGTGTAATGATTTCACATTGCACAAACGGATGTACCTTCGCGGCACTGTCAGGCTCGGGCCGTTGCTGGACTCGGACCGCTCAGTTCTCCTCCTGGAAGCATAACAGAACTGACGGAGGGGGAGGGGCGTGCACACCGCCTCCTCTGGGCAGGGCGGCGCCGCCGAGCCCGGCCGCCGACGGCGCTCGATTGATTGTGTTCGCCCGGTCCCGGCGGCGCTACAATCGCTGACTCGACGGAGCCAGAACGGGCGCAGGCGCGCGCAAACCGGCGCGGGTCCGGCCCGGCGCTGGCGAGGGGCGGGAGACGGCGGGGGACTGACGTCAGCCCGTGCATCTCACTGGCGCGCCGTCCGTCAGACACCGGGCGCTCTCCGGCACTCCGGCAGCTCGCTGAGTGGTGCCGGAGCCTGTCGGACTCTCCCGCGCCCTGCTGTGTCCTGCCCACCGCGCAGGGGCGGACCTCTGATACGCCTCGCATTGATTGGCGTTCACGACAAAAGGGCATTTACGAGGCGGGACCATAACTCACGATGCAAAGTAGACTGCTGCGCCACGGAAGATCGCGTGTCGCTTTACTCGTGGTCAGACGTCCGTGATCGTGACGGATCGGCGGTCCGGCACTACGGGAAGGAGTGGCAGGCACGCGAAAAGTATACGAAGTAGTATACGATATATATATATGTATATATATATATATATATATATATATATATATATATATAAAAGAGTATACGAAGGGGAGAGGCCAGTGCTTCTCAGCCGACATACTCCCACGCGCATGCGGAACGGTGCTTTGCCGCGGCCGGGATGCGGCTAGCGAGGCATGGCAGGGCCCGGTGTAGCCTCTGTCCTGAACAATGATCCAAGACCTCTACCGCGCAGCGTACCCCGAACGTCCCCGCCTCTGAGAGCGGTCGACGGCGGTCGTCTGAGGCAGTCGCTCACTCTGCCGGCAGGGCACCCAGCCAAGCTGACGATGAAGTGGACTGTGGTGCTGCTGGTATCGCTGTTCTGCGGTCTGACCGGTGAGTCCCCCCCTGCCCCCCCCCCCCCCCACCCCTCGCCCTCCTGGCGGGCGGGCGGGCGGCCTTTGTGGCGCTGTGAATCGTCCCGCAGAAACCGCTGACGGGCTGTTAAATCCTGTCTTCCGGTCCCAATCTGCTGTTGACCAGAGATAGTGGCTGGCTGTGTGACAGCGGGCCCCCATATCACACCCCTGACGGCGGCGGCAGGAAATGGAGACACTGACGGGCGGGGTGAAGTGCATTTGGCAGGGCATATGGCTTGTATGTGGCGTACATAGAACCACTATGTACAGACAAAGCCTGTGAGATCCTGGATGTAGGTACTGCGTGTGGGTTATCTTATCGGTCCCATAGTTACAGCCTGCCGGTGAGATTACACTGGCGGTTTTATCAGCTGCGTGTCCTGCTGCAGTGGCTGTGGAGAAATGGCCAACTTCTTGTGAAAGTCACACGCACTTGTCTGACTACGAATTATCTATATCTCGCACTTTGATGAGCTGTTTGAAACTCCGGTGCCTTTCTGGCCGACATTTGGACTGTGAATCACCGCAACGTCGGCTTCGGCCTTCTGGATGTTCATAATTGAAAGAACTCTCAAAACGTGCTCTTCTGCATGCATGGTTGAAATGGGTCTGCTGGCACGTTCGTTTTCTCATGACAAATGTTTGGTGGCTGATTTAATATGCCTCCTAGGTTCCTCAACATGTTTAGTTCCCAGCACGCCAGCGTCTGGGGTACGAAGGTGTGACAACAAAATGGGACACACTCCAACAGAGCACCATTCCTGGCTTGCAGGAAGCGTTCTGTTCTGCGTGTTCAGCTAAAACTGCCGCTCTGTTCCGCCCTGAGCACGGTCAGTTGGCTGAGACTATGTCGGTGCCCGGCAGCGGCCAAATGCAAGTACCGCCGGGATGGTGACTGGGGCGCGTGCTCGGCTGAGGGCGTTCGCTCCCGTACGGACGTGCTGAAGGCCGAGAAGTCGGACCCCTCCTGCCAGGCCTCCCGCAACATCACCAAAGTCTGCCGCGAAGGTGAGTGACCCTCTTCGCTCGTACCAGCGGGTGTGTGTGTGCAGTGTGCAATTTATAACCAACTCATCCGACCTTTTAAAGTGAAGTTCAGAATAGCCGCGTGCACTGGATTGGGCTGTGAAAGACTAAAAGCAGAGGCCTTGGCATGCATGCGTGTGGTGTTTGTGACGAACTGGCCAGCGTGGTGCTGTCATCAGGCTGTCAGTAAGGGTGTGGCTGACAGACTGTGCCTGCCCCTCCCCCCCCCCCCCCCCCCAGCACGGGTGTGGCTGACGGACTATGCCCATCGGCACAGGTGTGGCCGACTGACTGTGACTGCCCCTCACTGCGGTTGTGACTGACAGACTGTTCGGACTCGGCAGATTGTCAGTACGTGCGCCGGCGCCAGGCCAGCTGGGCCGAGTGCGACCGCACCTCCAACACGATCGCGGCCACGCGCACCCTGGTGAGCGGCGACGGCTGCCCGGCGCAGGTCATAGAGCTGTTCGACTGCCGCATCCAGCGCCGGTTCGGCCAGGGCGGCCGCCGTCGCCGGCCTGGCAAGAAGGCCGGCGGCAGGAGGAAGGGACAGAAGAAGCAGCAGGTGAGGCAAGCGGCGTCTGGAGGAGGCGGCGGGGTCTGAGGGAGACCTGTAGGTGCTGCGACTGCACGAATGCTGCTCGTTCTTGGTTTGGCTCTTGTTTCAATAGTTCCGGGTCATTTGGTGATTCAGTTCTGTTTTTAACCGACATCTGTGAGAGTCGATTGCCAGCCGAAGACAATTTGCCCTCAGCAGTCGGCTGGAGGTTGTGGTGAAGTCACGGATGGCACTCCGAAATCGGAGGTTGTATGCTACCTTGGTTGAGACTGCGATCATTGATAATTCAAAGGTCAGTTGTATCAGATGCTGACCAGATGATGTATGTGATGCCTTAGTAGCAGCTTAGCTGGTTTTTCCTATAACGCGTGTTGTTTCAGCGGCGCAAGGACAAACAGCAGCGTCGCACGCAGCGGAAACAGGGGCGACAGCAGCGCCGTCAGAATCAGAACAGGAAGAGCCAGAACTAACGATCAGTTCTTCAGCGGCTAGGTGGCAGCACTCGCTTGATTTAACGGTGCCCGAGAATCTTACCTGTGCGGGCTTGCTGCTCAACGTCATCTACGCGTGCAAAAGTATTGTAAAAAACCACCAATCGGTATGATTTGATGTAACACGCAGCGAGTGGCCAATGCGTGACACTCCGACACTACTCGAGTGGCAGATGTTGGACGTGCGGTGTTCGCGGACGCGCCCCGTACGGAACAAGTGGGTATCGATGGCCATCGTGCGCGCTCTTGCCTCCCCAATATGTGTAGCGGCCAGACGTGTCGGGCCTATGTCCTTCGTTGCAGCATGATTCCGGGACAAGCTGTCCTGCCTCTGCTGCAGCGCCGCTCCTTAACGCGTGTCATTTCGGGGACTGCCGCAGGAAGCCACGGTCATTGGAGGACTCCTCATGACGAAAGTGCTATGTTGTCACTGTTCACGTGTCTCCAACGATTGTTGGCATTTTTGGATGCTTGATAATAGTTTGTCAAAAATGGGATGTAGTCTTGCGCAGTGATGTACATCTTTCAGATGCGTAAAAGATTCCGGTGTCAAGTATGTCCAAAAGTAGAGCAGCTTGCGCTGAGCCCTGCATTGTTTGCTACTGCTGCGATTAGTGCTATTGTTAGACCTTATCAACCTGCATACATTCTCAACTTTGCGTGTCTATTTGTCGTTGTCAGCATCGTTGCGAAACTTTTGAACGTTCCATGTTAAACCAGTTTTTTACCGACGGGCGGTCAGAGGAAGCTGTGCCATTTCTTGCGTTTTACCTTTTTTGGTAGTATTGAGCTGGCTCATTGGAACGCAAACGAATTTTGACGTTTTAAGTGATTGACTTTAATAGCATAGTCATGATGGTATTCCATGCCTATGGCAGTCCATCACCGTCGTACTTACCAGCGACCGTTCATTCAGGACACCCTGCTCGGACATGCGCCTCTGACTGTTTAGCGGCCGGTGTGATGTGTTTATGTTTCATCGTGCAGGGTGCGTGGTCGGTCTGTGTTCAAAGGTATCTAAATAAAATTTGCATTCCGCCTGTTTGACCGTCTTACGCCAGATGTCTCTGTCTGCGAGAAAGCGGCAGACCATTTGCGCGCTCCGTAGTTTGTGTCATGTTACTTTCAAGCGCAGACGCCCAATTCCAGATTGTTGTGTTTTCCATTTCGGGGTGCCCTCTAATCCTGCATGGTGTCTATCGTAAGCATTTGGCGAAATCGGTACGTAAGGAGGAAAACACCGGCCGTATCATATAAATGTTGGCGTTCATGAAGCCTGCGTAAAACTGTCATTATTACACTATAAATTGTCATTATTTGTAAGATTTGGTTGAAGGTCCACAACTACCGTGTACATTTTTTGCGCTCAGAATCGCCTATCCAATGTAATGTTGTTTACCGTCTATCAGCACCTCTACTCAATTCGGAGATATACAAGGGTATCCCTCCTAGCGCAACCTGCGCATGTACTTGCGAAGCTAGAGAATACCTTGTTAAGAGAAGTTCTTCGTCTTTTAAAATTACTCTTATAGCACTTCTTCTCAAGCATTTTTTTATATTTTTGGCCGCCATAAAACGTACAAAACCAGGTCATGAGGTACGAAATTCATAACCGCTCACACCCACACACAACTAAATCGATAACACCTATGTTAAACTCAAAGCAGATGTGTGCATATGGAAAGAGGAGCATCAGCTAGTGCATCAGCTGTAAAATGGTATAGGTTCGCAGGCAAATTGGGCAGGTTATAAGCCGGGCGGATGACGGGCAGCACAACCCGACAGTTGTCTTGTGAAATGCACGCGCTGATCAGCTGAAATCAATACCGCATTTGCTTGGGTCGTAGATGATATCGTTAAACCATACTCGCCCGCTAATACAGGAAGGTTTAGATTAATGCGATGCACATTGTCCCTCTATGCCGACCACACAGCGATGCACAATGTCCCCCTGCGTCGACCGCTCACTCTGGACATAGCTGCTCTAGTGTTCGATCTAGTTTCTTAAGTTCTAGGTTCCGATCTAGTGGTATTGATATTTATGGCGACACGTATATGTTGCAGCTTCCCTGTGCGCTGGCTTCGCCGAGCAGTGTTCAGAGACGTGCTTTAAAAGTAGCATGTGCTATGATTGGAAAATGGCCTTTGAGAATCTCCAAACCAAACAGGCGGTTTGAACCCACTACAGTGGCATAACAAGTCACATGCTTTACGAGCATTTAATCTAACTTGAATAACGAGATATCACACATGAGTACATCTACAACAGCCACGTCTGCCCTGCCGACAACAGTCATCTACAACGGTCACAAATACAACAGTTAACAGATAGACAAGCCCGGCGTAATTGCGCAGCCCTGGGGTCAGCTGCGATTATAGCCGTCGTTCGCATCCTTTGTATATTGTGAACAAGTGCTTCCCATTGGTTTAAGGAAATGTCGGCATTTAAAACACGCCTGCGATGGAAGAGGCTCATTCGATTTCAGACGTCACCTTTCCACAACATAAAATACAGCACACGCGTCTGAACCCAATGTTAAACACGAGTAACAGCCGGCTCGGCCTCACTTGAATACTCTGCGCCCAGCCAGTGTCGCCCAGGATTCTCAGTCCCCATCAGCCACTCAGCGGGCGCCGCTGCCCCGCCGCAGACGCCAGGGGCCCGTCGCTAGCGCGGGCGCCTCTGGCGGCGGGCGGACCTCAGCGAGGTGCGCGTCCGATCTCCACGCTGGGATGGCGCCCCAGCCGGTGGGCGGCGGCGGACTACCCGCTGGTCCTGCTGATGTTGCCGAGCGGCAGCAGGGCGTCCTCGCCCAGCATGTCCGGGATGAAGTTGAACACGGACAGGGGACACTCGGGGTAGGCGGGCCGGCAGCGGTCGCGGCCGCCTGGCTGGGCGCCCAGCTGGCGCGCCTGCTGGTAGTCGGACATGAACGAGAAGTCGCCCTCCTTCGGCCTGTGGACGCCAGAGCGGGTGACGGCCGGTCAGCACCCAGGTCAGGTCAGGCCAGGCGTGGTCACATGGCACCAGCCCCGGCCGGCCGATCCAGGGGTTCATCGCGAGGGCAGGCATGGCTTGGAACCCCGACAACCCCGGGAGACTGGGCGACCAAATCACCGCGCTTTTTGCATCACGAGAGTGAATGTGAAACCTGCGACGAACACTGGGTTCTACATACAACGAGGCTTTGAATATTCCGTTGGTCTGATCACAATTTTTTACTTGGAGAGCATGACGGCATGTCTTCTGCTCGGCCACCACACTCCACGCTGTGACAGATTACGTACTGGTAGATGCACAAACCCGCCTCACTGAGGCTCCGCCACCTTATGGCAAGATCAGCGCCCGTCCCCGTTGACACCGCCCTGATCTGGGGAAATGAGGGGGGGGGGGGGAAGAGACGGAGGCCTAAACATGAGCTACGGTGTTCAGCGTCGGTACTAACGTCAGGAAGTAGGTGATCAGCTCGCCGACGAATGTCCACTCGGCGACGGGCGACTCCTGCAGCTCGCAGATGGTGCGCAACAGGCAGGACTTGCCGTCCACGCCCAGCTCCGCCATGGCCGTCTCCAGCGACTGGAAGATGTTGTACTGCAACGCAACGGGGCCGGCTCATTGCCTGCCGTTTGTGGGGTCCGTGGTGGTGGAGTCGGGTCTGTCGTGTGGTTATGTTGATTGATCGTAATGGTCGTTGTATCGCCGTTATGCTGAAGGCTGCAGCCAGTTGATTGTCACGTCCCCCCCCCCCCCACCCCCCTCCCCCCCGCCCTTTCTCTCATTCTCTCAAGGCATCACAGCCCTAGAAGCTTAACATCGTCAGATTATGGTCATGGTAACGGCGACCCGCCTCAGTCTCCCAGGATCCTTGCTGACCCGACGCGCCGCGCCGACCTCGCGCCCTCCAGCCTGGGGTCACCGCGAGCTCGGCGCTCACCTGGTCCTCGGCCACGGCGCGGCCGGTGAAGAAGAGCGAGGCTCCCTGCGCCGCCTGCTGGCGCAGGGAGCTGGACGCGAGCTGCCTCAGCGCCTCGGTCGAGGCCGACTGAGCTCCGCTCGAGGACACCTCCTGGGCCACCAGGCTGGCGATCTCCCGCGCGCTGAGGGGCACACGGCGCCGGTCAGGCGGGGTGCCGACGGGCTGCGGGCACTGCGGAGTCGCGCAGTGTCTTGTTCTCAGTCCGTTGGCAGGCACGGACGTTCAGCTCAGGTATCTTACTACAGCGCTCTCGCAAGGCTGAGAGGCACGTCTGGCCATGCAAGCTTTGCCGTTCTGCCTAAACGATCAGTGTCTGACCGCACTTGAGTCTCAGACTTATTTTGGGTCTACCCTCGCGGCTGAAATTTTACCTTGTTCAGCAATGCTTCATTTTATACTCGTATGAGCAGAAACAGCAGCATAGCAATATGCCAGAGGAATTCGTTGCAAGCAAGACTCGCAATAGAAGAACAAGGTGGATTTGTTGTTGGAACGGTAACCTTATAATACCATGCATCCATGCATGCGGTGAAAAATCAGCGATCGATTCCGGTGGCGTTGGGTCGGGCCAGGCCAGAGTAAGCTGGGTCAGGGTCGCGCTGCGTCGGACCTGCTCAGGTCGAGACACCTCGAGCAAGACCGGACCGGGCACAGTCGTGTCAGGCGGGTCGGATCCAGCGGGGTCAGGTCAGATTAGAGCTGAGTCGGGATAGGTCAGGGTAGTTTTCACAGTCTGGCCATCATGAGTCTGGGCAACCCAACCAGACACGGACATACCAGGAACAGCTGAAACAAAACTTGTGTCCGACTTGTTTTGCCTGAGACCATTCAGACGGTAAAATTAGTCGCTGTGGCTGACTCACCTGGGTTCAATCTGTCGTCCACTGAACAACTCATCCAGATTATAGAAGATGGGAATGCGGGCCCACACCTCGAATGTGCTCCAGGGCACCTCAAACCCGACCTCAATCTTCCAGACTGCGCCGGGCGCAACGAAGCGCCTGGTGCGCGGCGCCATCCTGCGCATGCGCACGTGACAGTTGCCTTCTGGGTCGAACAGGACGGTGTCAGAGGCGAGCGCCAGCGCCACGGAGGTCGCCAGCAGCAGGGCGGCGCGCCGCATGGCTGCAACAGAGCGGCGCACCGTGAGGGGGCTGGCGCCGCCTCTGACCGGTCCCGGCCGGCCGCGCGCGCACCCACCTCACGGCGCTGAAGAGCGGCCGCAGGAAGAACCGCAGCGGCCCGAACCAGATCTGGTAGAGGCCGACCGGCGGCTGCGGCACGATCAGCTTCGACTCGAACCGGATGTTGGCCGTGTCCGGCAGGCTGGTGGTGCGACGCCGGCGCAGCAGGATGCGTGGCCGAGCCTCGTCCGGCTCGTCGGCCGGGCCGGCCGGCTCGTCGGCCAGGCCGGCCGGCTCGGCCAGCACCTCGGACAGCGCGCAGCAGCAGAGTACGGCGGCGGCGAGCCTCATCGTGCCGGACTGCTGGCGCGAGGCCCAGAGACGCGGCGTAGACAGGGGCACCGGCGCCGGGGAGCGACACAGACACCACAGGATCCGGCAGGACGGGCGCCGATAGCTGGCGCTGCACGGCGCACGTCCGTCACTTGGTTTGGGGATGAATGTGCGGTGCTGGGACGTGCATGGGACTGAAGGGGAGTGAACTTACGTCGACCAATAGGGAGCCGATGTACGTCAATTTGGAGGGGGAATAGAGGAGCATAATAATTCGGCCCAAGACAACAAACAGATGTTTGGCAATCCCTTTCAAAAATAAATGTGCTAACCAGATGAAGATTGATTTCAGCTGTACGCATGATTTCAGCTGTATATATATATATATATATATATATATATATATATATATATATATACGTTTGTATATATATAGATTGTGTGTGTATGTATATGCGCGTTAAATACTTTGCATAGACTGTCTCCCATGGTCCTCAAATTTGCTCTCTTGGTTAAATGGAGGGATGAAGCATTTCATTTTATGGAATTGAGCATAATTATAGTAAAATCTGAATACGAGCAGGTAGGGTGTGCAGACAGAAGTGATAGATCACTTTACCGAAAGTCAATAAATAGCATGGTCTGGAAAAGTAGATACTAAATCTCACTTGCTGAGCGCAACAGACACCAGAATAGTTTTAGCACATGTGAGCCAACCACGTCAGAATCAAAATCAAACATTGCCGACGAACGACAGACACCTTCCAAGGAAGAATTCAGAGGCATCGCGCTCCTCTCAACAGGCGAGCATACATCTCACGTTTCGAGCACCAGCACATGCATCCAGATGTGCTCACCTGTCTCTGATGAGGTAGGCGGTGGCTGGGACGGCCGCGTGCTGCCCCCGTGAGCACCTGGACACTACTGCCGAGAGCGGCGCGGCGCGACCTCTCGTCACGTTAGCACGCGGACGTGGCCGTGATTTGTGGATCGGCGCTGCCTATCAGCAGTGCGTGCATTACACAGAAAACAGGATTACGGCCGGGTGTAATCCCCGCGACAGGGGAAGCGGGTGGCTCACAGCGGACGGGGTGCGCTATCACCAGGCAACCCACATTCGCGACAAACAGACCGGACGTACATCACGTCTGTTGGAAGTAGCACATCGATAGTAATTAAACATTGGAAAGAAAGACACACCCGACACAGGATGTCAGGACTCGCCGGCGATTCCATACGCAAAGCGGTCTCGTTTGCATGACAGTTTAGAAACATATGTCATAGCATTAACAACCAGAATGCATTAAACACTGATTTGTCTTGCATCTCTCGCGAGCTTGCTATGATCGTGATGACACCGATCGAGTTTAAAATGTGGAAATTCCTCCAAAAAGAGATGTACGGCGTCAGTCACTGGCGTCGTAATGCACCCACACTGTGTGGATACATTACAGACTAGCATGGAGTCGGCGAGGTTTGGCTGGTGCCAGCGCTGGGGTCCGCTTTCAATGCGTTTAACACAGTACGGAATCTCCGCTGGCATCGACAAAGCCTTGACGTTTCCAACTCAGACACCACTCCGAGGTCGTGGGCCGCTTTCTTAAGAGCGGATGAAATACTGACACCGATATCTGGTCTTGAACTCCGTCAGAACGTTGCGCTCGAGGTGAAGACAGACCAGAAATAACTGCGATAAATTTACTCTAAAATTAACCTTTGTATTCTAAGTGCATGAGCATGACGCCAAGAACAATTAACAAGCCCTCTACAACTTTGGCTGGCCATAAAACAGATGTGATCTGTTCTTACCGGACTTATTTGGTAGAAAGGTCTCTCACTCACTCGACTGATTTCATTGGGTTAAAGGTTCCGCGGGGGGGGGGGGGGGGGCATGACCGGAGGACCAAGAGCGGATGCCGGATTTACGGCTAGCAGGTCAAAGACAAGGGCACCAGGTACAACTTATCTGGCCATACCAAGCACATGGAGACCTTCTAGAGGGTGATGATGACCCTCGGGGAAGGAGATCGGCCGGCTGCGTGACTCGCTCCGTACATCGGCTGCAGCTTCCTAGATACAGCGCCAAGGGAATTGACTGGCGTCTTGCCCAACACATTTACACTGAGCCCCAGCGGCGCAGTGAGGTGCATCGCGGGAGGCAACAAGGGCATGACGGAGTCGTTTCTCGCGGCTATAACAAGACAGCAGACGGAAGTCACCCGACGGAAAGAAGTGGTCGGATGAATGCCGGATAAACTTAAATGTGCATGGAGCGAACATGTGAGATATTGGGTTTATGTTTCGCTTAGCTGCAGATGTCTTATACAGGCTACTGTAAATATGTTGACAGCATATTTGTACATTTCCATCATGTTGATTGGTGTGTTATGTTGTGATTTATGATCTGGTCTTCCATACCACAAAATACTCTCTGTACGAAGAGGATGCCTACCTTGCAAAAATGGAATCTAAAGTTATGCAAACTAAAAGTTAGGATGCTGTAATATACCGGAAATTGTTATGATATATGCAGCAATCGAGCCGTAATGCTTGAGCACCACGCCAAAAATATATGTTGCATTGCTATAAGGCATTCAGGAGAGTGGCTTTATTAAACAGCAGGACACAAGTAGTATCACAGGCTTCTACATTGCAACCAAGCCAAGCAAAGGCTGTGAGAAGTTCTACCTTTGTATGACGGAGTTCGTAACTAAGATGTTAAACCGAATGTAAATATTCAACGCTTCAAAAAACTGTTGTCAAGACCGAAACAAATTTTCCAATACTTGCAATCCGTGATACAGATCCACGACATGCAACAAATCGCGTCGATACCTTGTTTGGCTGCTTAGTAAAAGCCAGTGGAATTTACCGCCAGCCTTGCCGAGCTGTGCTCCCGGAGCAGCATGGATGACGTCACGCGCTGGGGCCGGTAGAAGACAAGTCTATAGCAGAGCAGAACGCTATTCACTGTTGCAAGCAAAATGAGTAGCTCGGCGCGACCGGCGTCAACAGACCATCTCGGTAGTCCGCAAGGCCGTACGTTGGAGTACGTTGGAGCGGCCTTCCACGGCCAATCCAACGTACTTTCATGGAAGACATGCCACGTCTTCACTGGCCATCCTGAGCAAGCCATGGCGAAAAAGGCAAACATTCGGCGATGTTTTGACATGATGTCAACAAGATTGTGCTCCCTCAGCATCAGTTATGTATCAGCCTCAGTCCATCTACTTGGGCCATTTCCACTTAGACTGACCTTTCCTTATCTCATAATCGTTTTCTGGCTATAGCGTTCCAGAGAAATGACTGAGTGAATTCGGTTCGCCATGTTGCGTCTGGTTTCCATCTACAGATTGACTTAGTTTATATATTTTGAGCTGAATGAGCCTTTTATTTGCTTTATGGTTTTCCTAAATGCAGACTGCTTTTTCAGAGCTCTTACTTTGCCATATGTCAATTGCACTGGGGGGGGGGGGGGGGGGCGTGGGCGCCACTCGGACACTTTCGAAGCCTCCGCTTGGCAAAACAACCCACGCTGCCGGCGAGCATGATTCTGATGCAACTAACAGCTTTTTACATCTGTTTGACATCTACTTCCTCCAGAGTTAGGGAGATTGCCTTGCTTGACTAACGTGCGATGCGAAGTGGTGCCTTGCATACATCCCGGGCCCCGCGGAGGTGTACGTTCAGGTACGGCGCGGCTGATTCGAACGGTAGTGATCGCGTGCAGCTGCTGTTGCTACAAAAAAGCTTGCTGCAGGAGGTACCATACAACGTGTCGCGACTAGGACTTCTGTCAGCGCTCGCTCACATTTCTGCTGAGCAAGAAGCAATGTATGCCCAGAAAGGCGGGGTTGACCGTATAAGACTCGTGATAGCCTGATTCTCTGTTAAGTCTGACATTATTGGTTATACCAACCACTGCACTGGTGCAGTTTTCTATGAGCATATTTTGTGGCTAGTCTACTGCCGGGTGAGATAGGATTGAACGTGCGCATGCCTGTCCAGCTCCAACGGTTTTCGAATGAAACGCCGTCGTGTGGCACATTGCATTGGTATATCCATACGACTGCAACGGCAAGCATACTCGTAAAACGGGCCACAGTCACCACATGCGAAGTACGAAATAATATTTAGCTGAGAGGAAAATCACCTCGCTACTGACAGTAGAATTTTGCGCCGGAAAAAGTAATACAAAATATATATCATCTGTCGCATTTGCTACTCGCCAGAACAATATGGCCTAGGATGCAAACTGGTTATCAGCAACCATATCTTTTCCGCTACCAATAATTCCCTGCAACATTTCGTGCGATGCGACTAACCTTAGGCAATGCGACTTACGCGTCCCGCTAAGGTTGCAATGTTGCCTGGAATACCCTGAGACATGGGCTGCTCATCCCTCCTGCAAGCTTTGTCCAGCTTATCCGTGCCTCGATGAGATGGACTGGATTTGGGGCTCAAATGAACAAGCCCATCTAACGTTTATATGCACTGACAATAAATGCATTTGGCATATTTTTGCAAGGTATGTCGTGCACCTATTAAAAATCAGCCGTATAATTTAAATACGTATGTCCAAAACACATTCATGGCAAAGTGTATCCACCCCAGCTACTTGCGGCAAGTGCCTAAAATAACAGCTTTTGTCGTGAAGCTTTTTGCAGTGATCTGTATATTATCTTCATAATATAATTTGTGTAATATCCACCGCCACTTGAGCCGTTTATATTTACGGAATGTAACTGAAGTGGACTGTATACATTGCTGCAATTCTCTGAGCCCTCCGCAACAAAATATTCCGCATCACCGATCCAGTTGGCGCGTGCATGCACACAAGTGTGGCGTATTCTCTTGTTGTGTTGCACAACACATGCCTCATTTCTTCCAAGGGAAGATGGTTAGAGCTGAGTGCACCTTGCCGCAACCCGTAAAGGTTTGGGGTGGCTGCCATTTCCCTGGCTTTTGGGGAGAAATCTGCCTTAATCACAACGCATTTTGGTCGCAGAACACACTCCTAGGCTCAGCCTGCTTATCCTTATCACGGAGAAAGCTTCATGGATCTGAGTGTTGTGTAATCGGGTGAATACGTCAGATCGAACAGCGTGAATAAGGGCATAAACATTGCTCAGTGATCAGGTAATCCTGTTTGTGCTCGTCCAGTTCCGTGACCCAGTGGCCTGTGAAGCGAGGTGCGCTTCCCGAAAGCCTTAGTGTGTCCCAGGCACCAGGCATGAGGAGCTTCGGCAGTCGCAGTCTCTGCGCATCCACGGACAGACCGCCCCGCACTCCTTTCCCCTGCAAGTTTAGCGTGCTCACAATGCTTCTCTCCATCGCTGTCCTGCTGGTGAGTACGAAATCGTGAAGGGCACACACGCTACTCTTGTAACGTTTGCACCCTCTTCAGGGTTTGGATTTTGAGTGCAGCCCTTGGTTTGCATTGCAGCCTGAAGCTTCTTATGTGATGACCCTGAGTCCAAGGTGGGTGAGACCTAAGGTGGGCTTATGACAGTGTTTACGGATCGTATTGGAACAAGTCATCGTCTTGAAAAAGTCAATCAGACAGATGGTATTGTAGTTTTTGAAATAAAAGTCCTTCGTGTTCAGAGCCCTGCATTTTTCACATTAAAAACTACTTACGGACTGTCTGACGATTTGCGTTTTGAATGTGGCTAATGACACTCAGATACTATAGTAAGTGACACTTAAACCATCCGTCTATGTTCTACGCTAGTTCGTGGATTTCTGCGTAGATGGAGATGCCTATGTGTGGCGTATTAATGGGCGTTTTCCTTTTATCTTATGAGGTTACGCACACGCCAATGACTTGCAAGCAACAACACACCCTGACGGTGTGTTGTTGCTATGCAACAGCAATCATGCAGTGAGTGTTGTTGCTTTGCAAGAGCACACA